CAATGACAGGCTTCACGAAAGAAATGCCAGCCGGCAACAGCTTCCTTTCACAGTCGCTCCTGGGAGATAATATTTCTAGGGTGACAACATTCGGTGCACAGGGACACCCAACCAGCCATTTCTATTCCATTGAGAGTATTGTTCGTTTTCACTATAACCCCTGAAACTTCGGAATACCACAGCTCCAGCAAAACAGTGCTCTTTGCGACAGCCAACTTCGTTGAACTTGCCCGTTTGGGACCTGGAAAGACATCTGACCTTTTCAGACCTTGGCTAGAAATAGGTGTGTGTGTGTGCTGGTTTGAGGGTACCCTGTTTTGGGCTAGATTAAAGGGAAACCAAAACGAAACCCACAATTTTGACATGACATACCAAACTAGACCAATGCAAAAACTCGGCATTGGACTGTGCCAACGTGGCCTCTGGCACACGATTGAACTCCGTGCCTCGCAAGAGAGGCCCAGTTGCAGCGTGGGGATTTCTCCTGGAGGCCGAGTGTGGGCGGAAAAGTGAACGTGTTTGGAGGTACGGTGGATGCTCTAAACAGTGGTAGGGGACAGGGGACGCTCTGTAAATTTCCATTTGTGGTTGGTCCGCTCACTTTAAACTGAACCAAACCAGAAAGAGACAAGGGTTGAGGAATACAGTAAAAGTGTGAGTTTGTTCTCAAAGGTGAAGGATGAAGGTTGCAAGTACTCAGGCGGAGGTAAACATGTTTCAACCAAAAACATGCTGGCCCAAGTACTTCGGAATGTCTCCAATGCCCCAAGCCGGGGTCCGGTTTCCCTTTGGTACCCTTGAAATCCACCCAACCACACACACACACAGCCACCCATCCATCCGTCCACCCACCCAACCACACGCGAACACCAGCCACCCACACACTCACTCATCCATTCACCCAACCAACCACACACACCCACACACCCACCCATCCATCCAGGCATCCACCCACCCAACCACACGCGAACACCAACCACCCACCCGGCCGTACCATGCACCCAACCACACGCGAACACCAACCACCCACCCGGCCGTACCATGCACCCAACCACACGCGAACACCAACCACCCACACACACACACACATCCACTCACCAATCCACCCAACCACACACACACACACCCAACCACCCACCCATCCATGAACCAAACCAACCGTTGGTTTAAACCACACACTTCCACACACCCAACCACGCAAACCCAGCCTTAGATGCCCCAGTTTCCCGAATTCAACGCCGCGTCTCCAGGCGCCAAGGCATTCTGCGCCACCAGCAGCCGTTCCAAGATCTCGAAGAAGGGGCCACCACGCAAGGGATCCACCGCCTCACAGGGCGGTGGTTGCGGCTTTGTCTCAACGGGCAAGGGCCTGAAATGGGTGTCTGAAAAAAGGTAGAAAGATGGCTATATAGCTGGCTAGAGATAGCTAGATGGATAGCAAGAGATAGATGGATAGATAGATGGCTAGAAAAATCATGTTGGTACTTGACTAACCCCCCTTATCCTGGCATCTGTTCCCTTAGCCAAAAATGACTTGTTGGGTCCATCTCCCCTTAAACATCAGCCCGTGACAAATAAGCAATTGAGGTTTACGTTTGAAACCATGCGGGGAACCCTGAATCATGAGCATGAATCCAAGGAAGCCTCCACCAACCAGCAGCCCCTTTGGCGCAACCCCCGGTTTTTTTTCCTCTTTTTTTCTCGGACTCCCAAATATATGCTCCCTTGGTGAATAAACAAAAAACCAGCGGGTAAGATGACCCGTGTCCGACAACAACCGGGCTCCCTTTTCCCCTTACAACATCACCCCCCACCAAGGGACCCTCACCTTTCATGGCCCAAAAAGGTGATGTTTAAAACCACCGAAGCGGGACATTTTGGGACCCCTGAAACACCCTCGCCTCCGCGGCTTTCCGCAAACTGCAGCGCAGCAGCGCGCCCACGGCGCTCAGCCGCTGCAGTAAGGTGCCCAGCCTGGGCTCCAGGCGCGCGGCGCGCGCGGCGGGATTGGGTGACTCAGCTGCTAGCCCTGGGCAAAAGGTCCATCACCTCCAAATAGACAAGCTGGGGTGCAACTCTTTCCGAGAGGTTTGATATGTGATAGGCTTACTTGGAAAGCCGCATAGTTTTGCAAAGGGTCTAAGGGCCTGAGGTCACACCAAAGACCAGCCAAGACCCCATGTTCCTCAGAAGCTGATGCTAACCAGCAAGGGAAGGGAGCCCTAAGGGTACAAGGGCTCGAAAAAAGCCAAAGCAAACCAAGCCCAGTTTCGACTCTTCAGGTGTTTTTTTGTTTTCATCTCTTGCAGGTTCCCATATTTCTCATAAAAAAGTCACCCCTACCAACGGACAGTCACCTACGGGCCAAAAAAGGGTGATGCTTAAAATCAGAACAAACAACACGACGCCTCCTGCTCGATGTTTCTGCCGAGTAACGGCAAAAGCCTCTCCAAGAAGGACACAGTTGGCGGCCGGCAGGACGTCTTGTAGTTCTCCGCCGCCTCCTCAGAAGCAACGTGGGTTTTCCTGAAATAAATTCCATATAAGTCAACCCAGTAATATGGGTGTGTTCCCTCCAAAAGTGGGCTGATTCCCAGGGACACCCCCCCATTAACAAACTGGGGTTGATTAATCTACAATCACCATTCTGGGCATATCTTAAAGCTTTCGGCCCAAAAAACCTGTTGGGTCCCTACAACACCCACCAAAAGGGGGCTGATACATATCTGATATACAAGGCGAATATCAAATACTTATCTTGAACTTGACTTCGCGGAGGCCGCTACTCAAACATGGAGCATGGGAACGGCCCAGTCGTCAACTGGAAAGACCCCTGCGGACACGCGGACACGAAGAGATTGACAGAACCCCACCCCCCCAAAGCCATACCCTAACCAACTGGCAACATTTGACCCGTGTTTCTGGAGACTTGCTATAGGCATCAATCACCATGCTCAATGCCCCGCTGCCATCACCCTATGCGAGTTGCATTCACAGATCTTCCAGTCACAGCAAGCCAACTCTCAGCTGACCAACTAACTGTTCATTGATATACCGCCAGTTGAGGTGACCGAGTTGACTGGCCAATCAAATATCGGACTTCAAGTTTACTTCACATAAAAAGGAACCGGTGTCGAAGACATGCACATGGTTGTGAGAAATGAGCCTCCGTAACTACGCAAGTGAGTTTGCTTATGGGAACGTTGTCCCTTGGCCGCTCAGGCCTCCGTTCCTGGTTTCGACGCACTGAACGTGCCAGTTCATAAGCCAAACAAGCGCTTGGGTCTGTCTCGCTTCATGAGGGCACACCTGAAATGGCCGGGTTTTTCTGTTTCCGTTCAAAGCACAGAACACACAACATCTTTGGACCCTGGACAAGATTGTCAGAAGAGATTCCAGATCGAGGATGCTACTTCCGAACAAGAAACACACCCGCATGGGTTCGCAAGCAAGACACATGTCGTCTCCTTTTGTTCCCCCAAAATCAACCGCAAGGGAAAACACACACGCAACGCGATTCATGGCGGGGTGCAGAGTGCAACCCATATGGGTGGCTCGTAGTTTTGTTTGAGGGTGCCCCTGGTTTAGTGGTTTCAAAAGGGAAACCAAAACAAAAACGTAACACTCACGACAAATGCACCAAATGTCCACCTGGGGTTGAGACCACTCACACATCAAACAAGCCAACCTATGGAAAACGCTGCGGGTTGGGCAGACCTGAGTTTAACCTAATCTTTGAACAGTCAACAAATCTCCTTTCAAAGGGGAGTGTTTCAACACTAAAAGCCAAAAAGGAAACTCGCATGATATTATCTGATGTTAACAATAACCCCAGGTGTTTACAACCCACGAAAAGGGGAAATATAGGCAACCCTGCGGATGACCTTTGACCATACCGTAGATGGACAAGATCCGCTTCGCGCGTGGGAAGACTACTGGCGCACCCTGCCCGCCTCCCACCAGCCCGCGAAACGAACCGAAATTCCGCGCCGAACTTCCGGGCGCCTCGAGGCTCTCACACGGCACCGCGCTGCGCGCGGAGGCCAAAAGCTCCTCAGAGGGCGCGTTCAAGGCCTGGCGGCGGTCAATCGGGAGCGGTGAAAAAATGGCCCATCCATGCTCAATCAATGGTGGATCAATGTGTGTTTGGTCATTTTTGGTTTTGTATTCCATTTCCGCCCGGAGTCTGCAAAAACCAAATTCCATATGGGTAAAGCAATGGTCGGGTCTTTAGCAGCCAGCAAATGGGACCCAAGTATCAAGTCCAGAAACACGCCAAGTCAGAAGCTCGTGGGTTTCCCTTTAGTGCCAATGAACATTTCCGAAAATGGGGGCCACCACAAACCAAAAACCAGGAGGGCATCCTGTTTCATCTCCCAAAACGTTTCCAACATTGGGTAGCACCAAACAACTGCTTCCTGTTGGGTTCCCCCTTAAAAAAAAAAAAAAGCGCGCCACCAGCGGTGGCAAAAATTGCTAGAATCGCTGCGCAGACTGAAAAATGGACAGGCACAAAGGGCTCAGGAGAATGGCCTGGCTTGAGTGGAAATTTTGAGGGCGTCTCCACATCCGCCCTAAACCAGCAGCCTTGTAAAGCAAGGACGCATGACCCCCTCCTGTGACCCTTAGAAGAACCAAACGGCCACGTGGGTCATTGTCATCAAGCAACTTGCGCCTATTTGTGACATTCATTCTCTGCAAAATAATTACTACTCACTAAATATACATATACTGCCCCGGCTTTAAAAAAGACAACATGCCCCTCCCCTCCAGTACATGTGCCACCCTGAAAAAACAAGGGACCCCTATAAAAAGGAACCTTCGCCCTCACATCGCAACCCTCCTAGTCATGTCACTATAATTTGCCCGGTCGCGCCTTTTTGTGTGGGTACCGCCTTTTGTGTAAAACCAAAAAAGAACGCCGAAACCATCTTGGGAAGTTCCTCAAAAACAGACACACCCAAATGCAACCCAAACACGAGAATTGAGCGGGAAGGCGCCTCACAGACCTGCTGCACCGCGTTCTCCAAGCGTTGTGCGAATAGCGTCACCACCCGCCTTGAATTGTCGGGGATTTCAAAACTGGCTGCTCATTTGGGCCTAAAACGTGATCCGCGCAACAGCTAAACTGTTTGTTTGCCTCTGTTTTGGGGGGACACCATGGACACCCAAAGTTGATCCCAAGCTGGCGCTTGGAGTAGAAACAACAAGGGGGTAGAGTTCCCCCAAAAAAGGATCGACCCCCATCTGCGAAAATCAAAAAAATGGAGTGCCCTAAATGAAGAGTCCAACCCCCTTTTACTTGAACAAGTGGTTTGGAGTTCCCTAGAACGACAATCGACCCCCTCCCCAAAACGACCTTCCAAGTGTACCCCTAAGTTGAGTTCCAAAACGGAGTTCCCCGAAATCTCACTTTGTTTCTTTACCACTAAATTTTGGCTTTCCCAAGCAGTTTAAAGTCCAGGAATACAGAAGTGTCTACTGCTCGTGCTTAGTAGGGGGGATTCCCTTAACGGAAACCACGAGCTGGAGGGGTTTTTCCTGTCCACTCCATTTCTCATTCCGTGCATCCCTCGCACCGATCACAAGTTCTTCGTTGACGTTGGAAGGGGAGAAAAAAAATAAACTGTAGCAGTTAAGTAGGGATTTCCCACTAAACCACCATAAGCCAAAATGTCAAAATCGAACAATCACCATGAATCTACCGCCGCCGCCGGCGCCAGCGGCGCCGGCGGACCTCTCGCCGAGGCGCTCCTCGTGCGCCACGAGGCGCCGGGCCAGCGACACTGCGCTGCAGGCCACCAGCCGTGCCAGCGCGGAGCGCTGGGCCTCGAAGAGGTCCTTACGACTGTCGCGGAAGTCGCTGAGAGTTGCCGGGAGCTGCAAAATATATTTTTTCTATGTCAGGTCGTGGCAAAGGCGGAAAAGGTCTTGGAAAAGGTGGAGCTAAAAGATTTAGAAAAGGTTCAGTTTTTTCGGACCAAACAGGTGCCATGGTTTCCCTAAATGGTGATGCAAAACTTTGAAGAATGCAAGGCCGTGCGGGTTCTCTTGAATAATTTAGGGTCCAGCATTTGGGTGTCTGTCAAAAGAGGCCCTCAAGCGGGCTTTCTGGTTGGCTAAAAGGGGTAGCCTCAAGAAAGACACCGCCATTCCTTACAGGCCCCTGAAAAGAAACTTAGTAAGGATCCCTGATGTAGCTGCAATTTCAAATGAGTGCCCACCGATTCCCATTGGCATATGTAGCGAGTGGCTCTGGTTTCATAGGGGCTGATATAGGCCTACATGGGTATGGGTCAAATTGAACCGCCAGACGCTGCAAGTATTGGTCCATGTTTTCGACTTACGAGGCTTCCATGTTGGGTACCTTTTTTGACCCACTGCCACAACCTTTATAGCCATCCTCTCGGGGCCCTAGCCTTGATCCACCATGGCTGTGCGTTTGTTTGTTTCGTTGGGGACACAGCCCCAACTCCATTTAACTTGTCAACAAAGAAAAGGATTTGGAAATGGTTTTGGTTTCTGTTGAATGCAACCCCAAAGGGCGCAAAGCGCAACCCGATTCCATTGACCCTGCACTTGAGGGGTTGCGGAGGTCGAGCCGATTGGGAGACGCTCGGCTGCCAGAGTCAGAGTCGGATGTGGGAGAGGCGTTGAAGGGAAAGCATGCGACAGAATGGTCAACATGGGTTTCCTCCATTTCTCTTTTAGGAACCTCTAAAAGTGGCAGTTTCAATGGAAACCACCAGCAAATTAGAACTCTTGACGGGAAATCCAGTGACCCTGTGAACATGGGTTTGTTTTTCTTTGAGAGTACCCATTTTGGGTGGGTAGGGGAAGGAACACGATTTCATGCTGGACCCAAGTTTGTGAGTCAGATTTTTGAAACTTGGATGAATTCTATTGCAACCCTTCTGATGCCTGCGGTTATGATGATTGGTCCGCAGTGGGCATGACTGAATCATACAGCAATCTGGTGAGTGGTGACTCATGTTTCTCTTTGATCCCAAGGCTACCTTAGATGTGATTGCCGCGAAGTATCAACTAATTATTCAGTGTTGCCCCCCTTGGTATTTTGTCCACTTGCTTCCGCACATGTGATCAACCAGAAAAGGGCAACCCCGTTTTCTTGGCCGGAAGCCGCACAGCTCCTGAGCCCTTAGAATCAGAACCGTGAACATCTGCAAGAGTTTTCGAGGAGTTTGATGATATGGCAATCTGCAAAGATATTTCAATGAGTTGTCAATGAGTGCATGGCAATCTGCAAGATTTTCCATGGACATTCTCTGCAAAGACACTTTGTGGTTTCTGGCACACGCGACTGGGATATCGCCAATCCAGTTTCAGCTTTGCACATCAGTTCTCCAAACCGGGGGAGCCCCAGATTTGGCTTCCATTTCTCATCAAGCCTTGGGGGTCCCCAGCCGTCCCCTTAGGTTCTTAGGTTTTCAGTTGGTTTAAATGGTAGAGTTCCATTTCAACCACTCACACTTATCACTCAGCAGTTTGAGCAGTTGAGGACATCCCAGAAACGACACATATTGAGCAGACCTTTGCGGGAAACCCCAAAGTTTTGGGTAGGGATGTGGGGTTTGTGTCGAGTGTCAGGACTTCGGACCCGTGACCCCGGGTTCGCTTTTCCGTGGCTTTGCAGACAGCCCGGGGCTGCAACCCACCGCTCCCAACCATAGAGGGTCATGGACCCCGTGGGCCCTGCTCGATTCGATAGGCTCCTCGGCTGAGGATTTCGGGACCGTGACGAACCCCAAAAAGGTACTGTCACAAAAGACAGAAACACGACTAATTCAAATCCCGCGTTCCTTGAACTTTCTGCTTCGTAGGGAATCCATTGTAGTTGTAAACAACAAGTTAAGACTCTGTGATTTGGCCAATCCACTCCAGAAGGATATGCGCGTTCAAAATCGTGGCTTTCTTCTTGGTTTCCCAACCTGAAACAGGTACCTTCAAACAATGCAGATCCAGAAGTCAGTCACCCTAATGGCTCATGACCCCTCCAGTGCAGATTTCGGGCCCTCCAATGAAGAACCCAGACCCCTCAGGGGCCCTTGAAAACACCCCATTTTCAGGGCCCCAAGAATCATCGGGAGCCTTAGGCCAATGGGTACTTTAGCTCGACAATTGGTCTCGCGCCTCTCCTCCTTTCGCGGAGGCACGGATCGACCTGACTTGGCCCATGGAGGCTGGAATGCAGCGCTTGGCGTCTGAGCAGAGGAATTCATCGGCGAAAATTGGACAAGCGGCACTATTTCATTTTGCGCTTGTTTGTTTGTTTGTTTGCTTGCTTGCTTGCTCGTTTGCTTGTTTGCTTGTTTGCTTGTTTCTTTCCAATCGATGGCGGTTGGTTTGGTTGATGGTTGGGTGATGGTTGGTTTGGTTTTCCTGGGTCAATTGCCAGCTGGCGCTTGAAACTGTTGTTCCTTTTCGTCGGGGCCAGGTTCGCCTTTTGTCCCCCTGCCAGCAGGGCCCAAGCCCCCTTTGTTTGTGGGAGGGGCTCTGCACAGATAGTGTTTGGGTGCTTCTCAAAACACGGGACCCCTCGAGATGGTTGGGTTTCTTCGGTTTACAACAGTGAAAAAGGGTGCCCTCTATTTTGAGAACCCCCCCCTCTGGGTAGAAGCCACAGTCATCGAACATGGGCACTGGACAAGTGAGTTGGCGGTGTTCATCTTGCACGTTGCTGATCCAAGTCCAGATGCAGCGGTTCACAATGCCCCGACTTTGGATGTGCGAAGCCATGCTGCAGGGATGCATGGAGACATACCCAGACTCGGAGATTTGTCATGGGCTTGTTGGTGAACGAATGACACCCTCTGCAAACCCAGCACGGGCAGGATCAGACTCGGGCGCTTAGTCCCCGAAGATCATGTGATCTTTTGGAGAATGGCCCCCTTTTGGGGGCTCGTGAATTCCAGGGGAGTATGTTGTATTCTGCGATTTCTGTTTTTGGCTTGGTGGAATGCCATTGGCTCCTATGTTCGCTGAAACGTCTTTGAAGGCACAAGTGTCCCAAATGGGCCTGGTGTTTCAAGATGGGATTCCCCTGGCTTTTTGATCATTCACCATCAATTGGAAAACGATACTAGATGATACGAACGACTGACAATTGTGATGGATCTGTTTGCTTCTTTCATTTTGACTTAGCCTCCCACCATGAAACCCACCCGAGGATCTCTCGTAGAGGAACATTATCCAACTACTGCGAATCCCACTTCGCACCAGTGGATGAACGCCCAGAACTTTTGGGCCAATCCCAAGCAGCACTTCCAAGCGCTGCTTTTTAGTTACCGTACCAAGGGGATTTTGGACGTGGAAAAAGCAGTTGGGGGATGCTGGGCTCGTTTCGAGTTTCGATCAGGAGGCTGTGCTTTTAGACGCCGTGGCTCAGGCGGGGGGGTGGATTCTCCAAATCCCTCTGTGGCTGTTTGGTTGGATCTTTGAACTTCAAATTTCGGGTTGAAACAGAGGGCTTTCCATGAACCCACAAAAAGACACTCTGTGCAGATTCTGATCAACAGTAACCAAGTTGGCTTCCCTTTGGGCACGTTGAGCTTCTCAAAAAAAGAAAAGGCCGGGAAAGCTGTGGGTGGCTTTCCGCCCAAAAGCGGCCGCTTTCTCGAGCAGGCTTCGAGCCTTCTGCCGGGCTGGCCCATAGAGGCCGGGACTTGGACAACACGCAAACCAAATGTGTGACGAGCCTCGAAACGCGACACACCCAGATTTCCCCCCGTTTTTTGTTTGTTTTTGTTGTTGTTGTTTTTGGGTGGGGCGGGGGGCGGGGGGGATTTGGGGTCGTTGAAATCTGAATGGAATGTTCAGGCGCTTCAAATCATGAGAATTTCGCCCTACTGCACATACCCACCTTTTTTGGGGGTATCCTGCTAACCCCGGACGAAACAAGGAGGTACTTAACATGGAAAACCCGGTTCGTCAAAACGCACCCTGTCAAACAGTGGGCATTCGGAGTAGTGATGAGTGATACCTCGAAGTAAGACAAACTAAGATGAAGGTTTGTCGCTGGTTCTCAGCAGGGAATGACCCTGGGTTTTGGAAAAAAATAATGGGAAGGGGATTCCCTGAAAGGAAACCATAGGGGATGGTTTTGCTGGGGATCCTCCCATTTGCAAGTTGTTGTGACTTCTTATTTCCGATGTGTGAATTTAGTTTACCCAAAGAGCTGCCTTGAGTCGTGGGTCTACTTCTGGAAGCCTCAGAATTCGAATTTGGCTTACTCCCAAGGGTTCCACCTCACCGAGCCCCGATGGCATAGACCTGGTGAAATGAGCCATATGGGTTTATCGCAAATTAGGGGCACCGCCCAAAATGGTTGGTTTCCTTCTTTAACACCACCCCCAAAAAGGATACCCAACAAGAAGACCCCGTATCTTGACATCCCCAGCAGTCTTTTTGTTGACTCTAGAAAGCCATGATGTTGCCGAGCCACTCGCCTTCTCGGAGTCCGGAGATCCTTGGCCCGTCCGCGAGGCAACGTGATCTCAGGGCTCCCTTCGTTGGCTTTCGAGTTCCCTTGGCTTTTCCTTCGGCCTCCGGGTCCCCAACGCCCGTGGCTTGCAGCTTGCAGCTTGCAGCTTGAGTGCTGAACCCTCCCAGGTCCCGAGACGAGTGCCTCACGTGTTTTAAGCCAACCACCACCAAGAAGACACTCAGCTCGACCGCCTGGGAAAGTGAGCTCAAAGCACCAGGGGCCGGAGACTCCTTTGTGAGAAAAACAGAGAACTCTTCAGTGGTCAAGCCCTTGGAAACGCGTCGTGAAGATCCTATAAGCAGAAAACTAGAGAGACCTAATTTTGGATTCCGCTTCC